CATCTGAGATATTATCTCTAATTTATACCTTCAATATGGAAATATATATTACACCAATTCAAATAAAGAGTCTTAAAACGGATTGAAATTGGAGATTATATTGGGCTTAATTAAAAAAAAAATCAAATGAATTGAGATTGATTCAATTTAAAATATCTTGAGCTCAATCCTTAAAATTTTGAACAACAAACTACCTACATTTAAGCTAAAGCTTATTTAAGACACAAGTTGCAAGTTTATTTGACTTGTTTGAAAGACTTTTGAACTTTTCTATTAAAAAGCACATAAAACACAGCGTTGAAATTGTAGTGAAATTTACTTAAGTCCTTGAGGAAACTTCTTTGACATTATTATACTCGTGAATAGAAAAATGTAAATAATATTTACGTGGTACTTACTTTGAAATTGTTAGCACTTTTACATCTTGATGTTAATACGTTTCTCACGTAAAATTGGCATTTCATGTAACATCTTGAGTAAGTTAATATATATGTGGCCAAAATCTCTTCTCTTTTTTTTTCTGTTAACGGAAAAGCAAAAGCTTTCGAAATATAGCAATATTTTTCTTTCAAAAGTACTACATATCGAGAGTGGAGTTGCTCTAATTATTGTTTATACATGATTGGATTGTTGACATATACCCTTTCAAATTTTAGTGGCTGAAATTTGATCTAGTTTATTCACTATTACATTGTGATAAAATAAAAAACACTTCTCAAAAGTTGTATATGAAGTGCATATTGTTTTAATGAATATAGATAGCTCATAGATTTATTATATAATGCTCAGACAAACAATTTGAACAATAAACCTTTAAAAAAATAGTATAGTATACGAGATAAACATAACCTGCTAAATAAAGGTACAGTAAAGAATGAAAATTGAATTATTAAATAATAAATAAATACAGAATGAGAAGAAAGATATTAAGGCATTGGTATAAACCAATCAAATTGATCATTACACAAAATGAGATTTTTTAACGTTTATGCATTCGGTTGATTTAAAGACAAGATACAATAGAAAATAGAAGCTAAAGTAACAATCAAAACAAATACGAATATTTAAACTAACAATCATCTCAGATCTTCTGCATGCAAAATTCTCCTAAAATGCCATGCTTATTTGCACCCATAAAGTTTGTTTCTTCTTTAATCAGAGCTTGTTGATGAATTCTGCAATGGCTTCAAAAAGCTTCTCAGTTGCAGAGCCAGTAACAGGGTCCATATCAACAGCAATTTTGTTCAGGTAAAAACTGTGTCCCACGCCGTTGTTTATCAACAGTTCAACATCTTTTTCCCCTTTTTTCAATGCTTCGTAAAATTCCATTTCAGTGTCTTTTATCAGATCCTTCTCCGCTACACAGTACAAATAAGGCGGCAATTTAAGCTCCTCCACCGCCGGTGCCGCATCACCCATCGGACAAGTAATCGGGTGATCCTTAGTGCTCCCAATCGGTAAAGCCAGTTCCATAAATTTATCCACCATATCTAAGGTTAGAAAGGGGGTTTGTTCCTGTTCTAGCTCCGATTTACTTCGCTGGGACCGCATGAAGCCTGGATGGATCGGAATTGCGCCAGCGAGCCTCATCGGAGATAAGTCTTCTTCTCCGGCTCTGGCGGCGACTTGATGGACGATGTTGCCGCCGGAGCTGTCTCCGATGAGGAATACGCGGTTGAAATCGGCGTATTCATTGAGCCAGGGCTCGTGATCTTGCTTCCGGGAAACGTCACGGAGCCAGAGAAGGCCGGCGAAGCTGGCATCACAGGCGGCAGGGAGGCGGTGCTCCGGCGCCAGAGGGAGGAAGACGGAGACAATAATAGCGTTTGCCACACGCGCTAAGCGAGTGCAGACAGCATAGTACATGTACCAATCAGCTTGGCTGATGCAAAAACCGCCGCCGTGGAAGTGAAGAATGACGGGAAGCTTATCAACCGAACTATCATTACGTTCAGGTAAGTAGACACGGAAACGACTACCGGAGTTCTCCCCGGCGACAACATCTTTGACGGCAACGCCGTCAATGAAGTCGTCATGCGGTGGAACTGGCTCAGCCATGAACTTGACTTCGGGTGGACCGGTCCATGTCCGGTCTACTGAACCGTCGTCAAAAACTGTAAGCCAACCGGAAACTACATCTTTAACTCGCTTATCATGAACCATTTTAGGAATTTTTAATAAGTGGAAAAGGAAGTTTTATTTTTTCTTGGGTATACTATTAATTTGCATGAATGAAAATGGGTGTATTTATAATAGTGAAAAAAAGGGTAGTTGTTGAAAGGAAGATACAAAGAGTTTTACAAAAAATTGGAGTTTAGATAGTGGGAAGAGTAATGGCATTGACTCATCATTTTCTACACAATTTCATAAATGGGTCATTCCACTTTTAGATTTTCGTCCACATTTACAAATTGGAATATAAGAAAGACTTGGTTGAGATCCAAACGAGAGTTTACTTGTTTACTGTATTAAAAATATACGTGTCAACTTTATGAAATTCATTGATAATTTTACACTTACTTTCTAATTTATTCTTATCATTAATTATAGATATTTTCCTATTACATTTTTCAAGATATTTTATTTATTATATTCAAAGAGTGATATAGTAAAATTATCCTTCTATTTATAGTTTCTTAAGGGGTATGTGATGTGTCAAGTCATAATGGATAAATTAGATAATAAAGAAAAATATTCTAAAACAATCATAAGATTTTTTATATGATTTTAATCAATTAACCTATATATGAAGATCATGTTGGGTTCTGAAGGGTGATTAGGGCGTCATGCGGAAGCTTACAATTGCAAATCATAAGACGATAAATTAGACGACACATAAAATTATACTAAAAGAAATATATTATTGTAGGATATGACCAATTGACCTACATAATTAAAAACTAATCAAAAAACATAGAAACTGTAGAGAGAAAATCTCCCCATAAACAAAACTCTTAAAGAACTACATTGTGGATGCTATTGTTTTTTGTGTTAGAAGAAACAAACTTATATTTATAGAGTCTTAAAACTTTTTCTTACTAGAAAAAGAGTCCTAAAATGAGAGAATAAGTCAAATATGAAAGAATATTATATTTTCCTTTCAAGAAAAGTAAAAATATTTATGGTTTTGTCTTTTCTTTAAGGAAAAATAAATCTTAAATTATGGTAAGAAAATCAGGGCAAAACCCTAACAGATCAATATAAATGAAAGTATAAAAGCTACTAAAAAAAAATGGAAAAATTTCTTTTCCGTCAAGAAAACATTTTTAAAGTAAGACAGAAATGTTAGTGCAAACCCTTACCAAACTTTGACCAGAGTCATTTTAAATGTATGTAAAAAGAATAAAGAATACGGGGAGTTTAAAGTTTTCTAAAAGTGCAAATATTCGATGGACCAACTATTTTGTAATACGTATGACATATAAAAAGGAACAGAGGGAGGGGAGTACCTACTAAAAAAAGATAATGATTGATATAATAAATTCACTATTTTATCCTATGAATTATGAAGTGGATGAATTAAAAATCTAAGACTTTCAAGAAGTTCTTCTACCTTTGTCAAAATTAATTAATTGAGAATATAATAGATAAAAAAAAATTGTTCTTTCGTGATTTGTCAAAATGAACCGTTAAAAAGGTATAATTAAAAAAAAAAATTGGACAGATAATTAGGGACTGAGAAAGTATTAGATGTCATTCACTTCAACTAATTTGATATTACTCCTAGTTTCTTTTATTTTAATTTGTTTATCTTAATTAATATTTGAACAATCAATGAATATTTTTTTATCATAATTTTTCAAAAGATTTAGAATTATTAAACTATTGTAAGTTATACGTAGTAAATTCTTTTATAATTATAAAATATATAAATTTTATTTCAGAAAATTAAAAAATTAACGTCAAACATCAATTGATTTGTCCTTCATAGGCTGAATCAAGTCAAATAAATTGGAACTGTCCACATATATGAGTTATGAATAACGTTGGATTTGAAAAAGGGGAAAAAACAATAAACTGGTTGTTATGATGTTGTGAACTGGGAAGAAAGTCTTTAGCTTCTTTTATTTTTTTGGTTATTTATTTAAAAGTTGATAACACATTGAAGGAGATAAAGGTAATTTCACCGACGGGTAGTCTGTTTGCACATCACATTTTGCAACATTTTCACATACACCCAAATGTCTATTACATATTCACATAAATTATGTCACCCTATTTAGTTGTACCCATGAGCATCAATTGAAACATACCTAGAATATTACAACTTATGGGGGCTAATGCATATAGTAAAATGAGGTGATATATTTTAAATAGTTAACCATCTACATAAGTAGACACTTGACAATATGTGCATAATAGGAACACTCTACATGTCCACATACTCTATCAGAATATGTTATAGTTCGAGTGTCTAAAAAAAGTTCACTATCAAGTTTAAGAAATTATTGATGTATTCATCCTATTAGTAGTGCAAAAACTGATAAATATATGATTTAATTATTCCAACTTCTACCTTTCACAAAATTATTTACAAATTGACTCATAATTTTAATGTAGAATTGTAAAATGATAACCGAACACCAAAGTTTATATCAAACAACTAAAGAGCTAAACATGATATAAGCTACGCTAACTTTTTTAATGTATGAATAACTTCCTTCCTAACAAGCAACAAAACAACCAATGAGAAATGATCAAAACTATCCCCCAAGTTTAAGGGTTTGTTTAACTTCGTCCCTGTAATATCACAATGAACATAAATAGCCCTTTTTAAGTTGGCAAAACAAGGACACTCTTGGTGCACCAAAAGGAAGTTTGTAAAATTTTACCTAATGGATTTAATGATGACCTTAAATCAAGGGTTGTTCATCAGAAGGGCTATTTGACTAATCCTATAGTTATCTGCCTACAGCTCTGGAAGTCACACCAACACAGTGAACTACACAAGATGCATTGTTTGTGCTGCACAAAAAGTTGCCTTCCATCATTAGACAAACAAAATCTCTGTACTAAGGCGCAACCCCATATCCAGAAAGGGTCCACACATCTGTATGCTTCTTGGACACGAGAAAACCAACAAAACGAGACCTGTGTAAAAGAAAATAATATCAATCTAGGTGAAACTTGACAATAATACAAGGACTAGAAAAAGGATAATACATAAACGTGTCTTTTAACTTGGTCTTAGCTGACATCTATGCTCTCCAACTTTGGGTGTACACAAGTAGGAAATTAAACTTGTATAAAGTGGAACAAGTAAACACGTGTGTCCTACATAGAATTCATGTCCTGCGTGTATTATTCCATGTAGGATGCGTGTGGTTATTTGTTCAACTCTATAAATTTAAGTATCTACTTGTGCACAATCAAAATTAGAGGGTCTAGATATCAACTGAGGCTTTAGTTAAAGAACACTAAAAAAGTGGATTAAACTTACGTTAGATCCTATACAGAGTTCTTAATAGGGTTCTTCAACTTGCTATTAAGCTGTTCAATTTCTGCTGCTTGTTCCTTGCAACAAGAAAATCATAGACTTAGAAAGGACAGGCGGAAAACAGCAACAATCTGGAGAGGGTAAAAAAGGAATGACGGGGAATAAACACTTCATAATCACCTGACGTAAAGCTTTCCACCACAGGCTTGATTGTTCCTGTAGTACACGCCATTCAACCGCCAACTCATGTTCTATTGTGTTACTCTGGGCATAGTGAGATGTTGATACTGCTTTTCTCTTTACAAGAAAGAAATTGGAATATGAAAATTGGATCATCAAATAGCAAATTAAGGGAGAGGAGGTTATTTGTGTGCCGTCAAATGCGTACCATTTCTTCTCCTAGCTTTTGAAATTTGAGTTTTCCAATGGACAGATGGCCAGGAAAGTCTTTACTTTTCACTTGGTCCTGTATAGTTCCCTTCCGAGCAACAACTGGCCTTAACAAGACATAAACAACAATATCATTATCTCTGTCATCTTAGTTATTTCTCATATTTCATTCATCTTATTCCAATAAAATAGTAGTATTCACAAAAGTTCATCCAAGATAATGTCAAATAGAGATCACCGATAAGAATCCCAAGCCACTATCATGACTGAGATTTACATCATTTTTCTTTCCAGTAAGAAGCACAGACCACTATCATGAATGAGATTTACATCATTTTTCTTTCTCCCTCTATAGTGAGCAGATTTGGAGGGTTATTGGAAGGAAATAGAGTAGTATAGAAGAGATTCATGGCGCATCAAGCTAACTCAACGAAAGCTTGTTTGAAAAGGTATTCACCCTAATCATTTCTCTTTATGAAAAAAATCCAGTGCCATGAGATGGTAGAGTATAAATAACATATATGACATCTACCATAATGACCATCAGGAGGAATTACATAGACAAAGCTGACAGTATTAATTATCAAAATTAACGGCTTCTCGAAAATTCTCTAAAACAGAAAAGGTAATATCACACCATCATAATCAGTGTTTTCAAAGGTACGATGGGATTTTGTAGAAGAAATGCTAAATGGATATGGATTACCTCCAAAGTTCATACAGTTGGTTATGGTCCATGTCACAACAACCAAATTTTCAGTCAAGGTTAGTGGGGACACTCATGATTATTTTGAAGGCAAGAGGGGGCTGAGACAAGGGGATCCTATCTCTCCCCTACTATTTGCGCTAGTAATGGAGTACCTGTCTAGAACCACGACTCAAATGTGTAAGCTAACTGATTTTAGATTCCATCCCATGTGTAAGGGGCAACAGTTGACTCTCCTCATATTTGCTAATGACTTGATGATTTTCCGTAAAGGAAATGTGGTATCTGTACAAAGTTTTGTGGAGGCCTTACAACATTTCTCTAATACAACTGGACTAGTGGCTTAACATAGATGAATCTAGTCTGTTTATGGCTGGTGTAGATGAGAATACTTAAGGGGAAATTCTCAACCTAACTGGTTTCACCTTGGGACCATTTCCAATAATGTACTTGGTCCTTCCTCTCTCCCAATAAGTGGAACAAATTGGAGTGTCACCAACTAAAGATGAAGATTACAGACAAGATCAGGGAGATCAGGGCTGTCTCCACAAGACACTTATCTTATGCTGGTAAGCTTCATGTTATTGATTCTATACTGTTCACCACATCACCTTACATAATTTTTCGGGGGGCTGTATTAATATTTCCCCAATCGCATTAAAGGAGGTAGACAAGAAGTGTAGGGAGTTTCTTTGGTGGGATACTGATGAAAAGAAAAAACTATCACTTGTGGCTTGGGATAAGCTATGTCAACCAAAGAAGTATGAAGGTCTGAATTGTCGGATGTGGAATATGGCTGCATTGGGAAAACTTATATGGATGGTGATGAAGAAAAAAGATCTATTATGGGTAAAATGGGTGAATGGTATATATATGAAAGGAGGAGATGATTTCTGCTACTGGAAAAAGCTTCATAAACTGAAGCTGAAGATGACAAGCTGGTATAGAGATGATCATTATTGTAACTGCTAACAGGAAATACTTTGTCTCTAAGGGGTACTGTGCTGCCACCTGCACCAAGAATGTATACTGCTGACTTAATATGGAGTAGAATTACAATGCACAAACATAGGTTTATATGTGATTAACTGGATCTTGGGAGGTTACGAACAAAGGATAGATAGCTAATGATGGGCATTCAGTGTGATAACCACATGTGTGTGATGTGTGAAGATATGTTAGAGAGAGGTTCGATATGCTTCAATACACAAAAAGAGGCAGGAAGTGTGCTTCTTGATTTAATACAGACAATTTGTAATTAGCTGGTTGATTTTGGAGGCCCACTGATTATTGGCAATCTTCCTAGAAGGGGGTCGAGATAATAGGTGCTCTTTAGGTGTAACTTTTTGATTGTTGGTATGGTAATATTTCACAGTTTACTACCAAAAATAAACTAAATCAGTATTTTCAAAGGCATTTTGTAGGCGATTCATGGGGCAAGCCATGGAGCTAGGAGGGCTATATCGCACAAGAACGGATTGGCAGAGGAAAACTATCGTGGGCCATAAGTTCTAACCTCCCGAGCATTAACTTAAGCATAGGTTTCAATCTTCCGGATGTTCATTTGGGTGGTAAGTTCAGAGAACTCCCCAAACTTAAAATCAAAATTGCAAGTTCTCTTTATTATTAAAACATTCAAAAGTTAGCTAATTGTAAATTCTCAAACTAAAAAGAAAAAACTCAAAAGTCAAAGTCTCCTCTTAATTGTTATCCCTAATTTCATATTTCTTTGTCATTTACAGAGCAACCAATCATTCTTTGGCTCTTCATCAGCAAAGTGCAAACTACAAAGCAAAAGCTTTGTCTTCAAATGCTTGTGAATTCCTTTTTTATGCTTCAATTCCTTTTTACTCTCTTTTATTCTTTTCAAGTTAGGTATTGATTTTGGAATTCATTTTGATATCACTCTAATTTAGATACTATTTTGGGAGGCTTTATTCTAAAACATGTTCTATTTGTGTTATAGTAGGTATTTGTGATTTGTTTTCTGGTTTCAGGTTTTCAAACAATAACTTTATACTATTGTCATTTTTATTTTTTTGAACTATTAGGAACCATCATTTTACAACTCCAAGTAGATAACCACCGGACTATAGCTGTGATGCATCTTTCATCTTTCACTCTTACATTCATACTTATACACTAATTTTATAATTTTCTACAATTTAATGTAATTTTACTTTTTGTTATTTATATACTTATTATATTAATTTATCAAAAACAAAAAATTAAATATTTATGGGGCTTACTCCTCACATCTCAAGGCTTACGTCTCGCCCCATGTTATACAAAACGCCTTGCCTCAAGCCCTGCCTTTTAAAACATTACCAACTAACTCATGTCATCAAGGACTTTGAAGATCATTACACCAAGCATAGTTTGTCAAAAAGGAATACTAACTAGCAAGGTGTATGTAAGAACAATACAAAAAACATCTAATCAACAAGACAAACAAAGGGTGAGACAAAACTTGCCAAGCCGATCTAGTACCTTCCATCACCTAACATTAGGCACCTCCTTTTCAACTCAAAAATGGCGGTCTCTGCAGCCTCACTTGATTTGAAGATAAGAAATGCTTTTCCTGGTAGTGTTCATTTGAGAGAAAAAAACATCGAGTTCACTGAGAAAAATGTCAATAAATTTTACTTCAGGATTTTAGAAGAAGATACGCGATGGCCTACCATTTAGGGGATTAGAGAAGGTGTTATGCTGCACCATTTTTGCACTAACCTTTTGCCTCAAGGCATGCTTAACAATATCCTAGAATATAGAGAATGAGAAACTCAGAAAGATTAATGAGATAAGCTCTTCGAGTATAAAACTAGGAGCAAAAACAACAAAGAATAATTCAAGAAGAAAACCCACCACAATATATATCAGAGGAAAAGTTTGTCTTGATATATCTATCTCTACCAAATAAAAGGACATAAGAATATATTTGAGGAGAGGCGTGAAAATTTTCTTGAATCAATCCGGATTCATGCCGGGATGCTCAACTATAGAAATCATTCATTTGGTAAGGAGGCTTGGTGGAGCAGTACATAGAGGACACACACATTGTGTTCATTAACCTAGAAAAGGCTTACGACAACGTTCCAAGGAAGGTTCTATAGAGATACTTGGAGGCTAGAGGTGTACCTGTTGTTGACCATATAATAAAATAATAAAAAGTATGCTCTCTCTAACAGCTTAAACTTTTAGATGAGATGGTCACATACTTCAACACATGTGGAGTATATTAGGGAGATATAGGACATGTACGATGGAGCTAAGACCTCAGAGCACCTCCCATTTTTTACGAGGTTGCACCAGTGCTAAGCCCGTTTATATTTGCATTGGTGATGGAGGCATTGACGCAACAAATTCAAGGTGAAGTGTCATGGTGTATGTTATTTGCAGCTAACATAGTTCTGATTGACGAGACTCACAACGAAACTAATGTTAAGCTGGAGATTTGGAGATAGACCCTAGAGTCAAAAGGGATCAGATTGAGCACGATCAAGACAAATTACTTGGAGTGCAAGTTCAATGATGTAATGTATGACACAGATATGGAAGTGAGGCTCGACACTCGGGTCATCCAAAAGAGAGAAAGTTTCAAGTGTCTAAGTCTATCATCCAAAAAATGAAGAGATCAACAAGAATGTCATTCACTGCATTAGTGCAGGGCGAATGAAATGGAGGCTTACAAACGGAGTTTGTGTGATAAAAAGGTGACACCAAAACTTAAAGACAAGTTCTACAGAGTCGTAATTAGACCAACTATATTGTATGGGGTGGAGTGTTGGCAGTCATAAACTCTCACGTTCAAAAGTTGAAAGTTGCAGAAATGTGGATGCTACAATGGATGTGTGGACAAACTAGGAGAGATAGGATTAAAAATGAGGATATCTGGGACAAGGTGGGAGTGGTTTCGGTGAAGGACAAAATACGGGAATCTAGATTGATATCGTTTGGACATGTGAAGAGGAGATGTCTAAATGCCCCAGTGCAAAGGTATGAGAGGTTGGCTATGGATGGTTTCAAGAGAGGTAGAGGTAGACCAGAGAAGTAGTGAGGAGAAGTGATTAGACAGGAAATTGAATGACGGGCTAGGATCATTTCGCATTTAATGATGCTCAAAGGCTGAGATGAAGCCAGTAGGGTAAAAGTAATAGAAACGGCAGAGGCATCCAAAATTCTGGAAAACTTGCAAAATTTTCTCCTCTCTTTCCTCGACTCTCTTCTCTCTCTTTCTCTTCCTCCCTCTCTGATTCTTCTTCTCACTATAATCCTTTCTTCAACTTCTTTCTGCAGATCTGAGCTATCTATGTTGTTCCAACTTTCCATTTCTATGTCATTATAGTTTAGCTTAGCTCTAATCTCAATTTCAGATATATATGACAGAATTATCCAAGAAACACTTGCAATTTATTGTTTGTTTTCCTTGTTTAATTCTGCTATTTAAGTTCATAACATACCATCACCACTAATAGACTCACTAAAGATAGTGGCTTGAAGATGAGAATTAACATGGGTTAAGTAAACAAATTTATAGAACAATTCTTAAACTAGATACAATAACCTTGGTTAACCTAAGTTTACGTAAGGTTATTCAAAAGTTTGCTTGTGAAATTTTCAAGATGTATAGCAATAATTCAAAAGAGAAGTTTGTGTAAAATACAAGAAATGTTATTCATGTAAAACTTTTATTTTCATCAAAACACGAAGAAGAAAAGAGAAAGAAAAAGGGAAAACAAGTTTTTACCACATACATTTGAACTTACAAGAGCTTTAGAAACAATATTACCCGAAATAGAAATGGAAACATACACATGTCTACAAAATGAATTAACACAAGTTTCGCCTAATGACACAGTAATATTTCATTTTTCATTACTCAAAATTCAAATGGACAAACTAAAGCACATATTAAACTGAAATAGACTAAAAATTCATTCTATGTACCTCCACTTCTGTTGATGCATATGAAGGATCAAGATTCTCAAGTAACATAAGTGTACCTCGCTCTTGAGCGTCTTGGAGTCTATCATTCCATGGCTGGGCAGAACAAAATAATATATGTAAATCACAAAATATAGAGTAAATAACTGCTTCGAGGCTACAGCACATCATGTACATCTTCTACTTTTGCCTAAATAGTTGAAGCTTACATCACTTTCCCAACCAACTTAACTTCAAAAGAAAACACTTTGGAATAAATATAACAATGGAGATAGGAGACTAACCAGTTCCTTAAACCATGTGCTAGCACCCTGCAAGTTAAAAGATATCATATCAGAACTAAATTCAAAACAGGTTAAGAGGTCCCTTACAATATCCAATCATTGATATCAGCTATCAACCTGAGGTTTAGTTATACAACAGATGGGGCCAGCAAACAGATACAAAAAAGAACAAATAATCAAGTTACAAGTTCAGTACACACAAAAAAAACCAGTGTACGTTCTCATCAAACAAGGATGCAATACATCAAAAATCCGGAACTAAAAAAGAAACAGTATGCCAGGTATGAGCACTCACAGATTTCAGATTATAGAGGGAAACCTCAATATTCAATTTTCATAGCACTGTTTACAAAACGAAAGGAGGAAAAAGTTTTCTATGTGAATCAAATCCTTCATAGGACCCTAATACTCCAAAAAAAAAAAAAGTAGGAAAAAGGAAAACGGAATACCTCCTTCACCCTTGTTGTTACTTCAATGACCTGACTTGTGGATTTCATGACCTTATGTTGGTCAAATGGTGTAGTATCTGCAAGATCATATCCCCAATCAGACAACATTCATAATGATTTGTTCACTGTCTCTAAGAGAAAGTTACAGGTAAGAAAGAAACCTGATAAGTCTTGAAGCTTTCTCTTCTTCAATGCATTAGTAGACGGGGTACAATATGAATGTTTTACTTCAGTTCTGGCAACAGTCTTGTCCGTCTCAGAAACATTGCCCTGTCTGCCTTGTCTGCCTAAACTAATTGGGACTTTATTCAGTTCTGGAAATGATCAGATTAACAGTTAAACTCAGATATGAATTTACAAGAATCAACCCATTATCTTTCCGAGTAATCACCTTTTTCTACCAGTTCCGTCACCTGACACTGTGAAATGGTAGTGCACTGGTCCGTTCTTGTGGAGGATTTAGTTTGCTTGACCAAAGTCACAGGTGGCAACGTCGACTCTGCAAGAGCCGAATTGAAAATAAACATGGGTTGTTGACATCACAACTAAGAATTTACCACACATGTCTACAAGTAGTTACGAGTGTTTCTTCCTGGTTGGTCATCTTTCAGCGTTGTTTTAATGGTTGCTCCTCCAAATGAATGTGGCATGTCAAGACTTCCTTTTCCTCCATAATGAATAGGCTGCTTCAGATCTGTCACCTTATTAAAGAAGTGCTCCACTGCAGCAGGAATGAGGTAATGCCTCAAATCATTGATTTTCAGTATTTAAATGCATCAGAGTAAGAATGTAAAAACTGAAGAAGCAGATTTTACTGCAAACATATACTCAGAGGCTAGCTTTTCAATATAAAGCTTCATGCATACAAGTAAGCTAAGCAAAAAGAAATAGACATTTTGGTTCATCCCAAAGAAATTTACATCATACGCCTCACGTGTCTGGCGATGTGTGATACAATAAAAAGAGCACATGCCCACTTCGGTTAACACCAGCATCCTCCCTATACTGACAACTCACAAGTCACAGCAAACACTTACATAGAATCATTGGAAGATGTTTCTTCTTTTCTTTAATAATAAGCAAGATTCTGAGGAGAATTTTACAAAACTTATTTTTGGATTAAAAGCTAAGCAAAATGCCAACATGAAACGTGAAATTATCATATACATGACTACATCTCTTTAGATATGTCCACCACTACAGTTCTTTGGTTAGTACTTTATCCAATGCATTCATTAAAACGGAGAGGTCAGCCATAATAAAGACTTCTAAGAAACTTATACCAATATATCCATCACTAGAGCTCCTTAAATTCAAGAACTGGGGCCATGACTTAAAAAGCAGTGAATGAAAGGTAAAAACTGAAAGAAACAAGACCTTGCTCTAAATTCCAAGAACGTTGAAGAAATACTGCACTAGAAGTCATAGAGCTTTGGAGAGTCCTACGAAACCCAACTCTCTAGATATGCATCAGATAAAAGGCAGCACTAATGGGTGAACAGGTGACAAAAAATACAGGCTGAAACCAAATGGCAATGAATGGGAATGCATGAATGAATGTGAAATTGTGAATAGCCATGAAAGTCCAACATCCATCTATTACTATTCTTCCGTTTCCCAGCCCTATAGAATAAGCAACCTGAATGCTAGCAATATTGTCTTCAAATACCCCAAGTTGACTAAAACACTCAAGTGAAATAGTATATTAAGATGTTCTGCTATATATTGCACAAATTATCTAGTTCTGTCAATTATTCTTTTGTCCTATCAAAATAAAGAAGACATCAAGTGATGGAAATAATCCTGAAACAAGAACGTGCATGGGCAAGAGCACAGAAAAACCAATAAGCGCCTAAGACAGTTAAATTAGAGCCCTACCCCTTTAAACAGCAATGTAGTGGGAAATTCTTTATGGTACATTTATAACTTTATCCTTTTACTAATTTGATTTCTTCATTTACAAAATGTCCTCGAATGTATTACATAATCCTAAGCAACTATAAAACTGAGGTTCCCAGAGAATGTATAAACTGTCTTCAAATAAGTTACACAAAAGTTTGAGAAGACAAAAATTCTGAAAGATAGTATCATATGTTAAAGCATTTCTAACGAAATAAACCAAATGTATGACACAGAAATCTGAGAAGCAGAAACCATTCAAGCATTTAACAAGCTGTTTCATCCAACCATAAAATGCATAACACTGTGGACTGAATGAAAATCAAGCAATAGAATTAGAGTCACTACCTTCAATTTGCGCTATTGAATTTGGAAATTTCTCAGATATCTCCTGAGTGCCGACATCAAAGGTGCGATAAAATAAAAACTCAGCTGTTTCCAAATCTCTGTCTTTTGGCTGAGGGTTCCTCCTATCAATTGATATGCAGACAACATTGCATTTACCGGTGATGGCTTCCTGTAATAAAATCTCAAAGAGGTCAGACCATTACATCTAAAAACAGATAGATTAAAATTATACCTTAAAAAGGATTAGTGAAAGAATTACCACTGGATTGCAATTTGATAGCCCTACACCTTCTCCTGAAGCCAACAGTAACTCATTGCCAAGCACCTTGATATTACCCAACCAATGAGTTAGCTCGGTGGGACGGAAAAACCATACCACCTTGACTATCCTTTTCCGTGTTTTCGTTTCCCACACCTTAACGATCTTACCAATGTCTGGCTCCTCTTCACCATGACGATACATGTAAACACAATCATATAAGTTGAATTCAACTCCAGCATAAGTGAATGACTTGTAAAATTGGACGTCCTTGTTATGGGCACCCTTTCCCTTCTTGGCACCCCAACTAAATTCGGGACTATCTTCTTCCGCTGCTTCTTGAAGGGGGAACATTTGATACTTATCACAATGTGATGTTAATCTTTCAAAGATCTGGAATGGAAATACATATGCCTGTCATTGACAACTAACAACCATCTAAAAAAGTAGATGTGCACATTACAACAATTACTAAAAGCATAATAATTATGCAAAAGCCCCAAAATTCATAGAGAATTTGAAGAAAGCAGAAACCCACTCATTGAGACCTCGCTTTAGAAGAAGGAAAACAAAGAAAGCAAGCAAAGGTAGACTCCAAAAAAACAAGTCATTCAAAAAAAAAAATGTTCTATGTTCCCTCTTAAGTATCATTTTCAGTTTGAAGTGGAGATTCAATAATTGAACATATAACAAGACTCAAAGAGTATCTTAGCACATTATATAGAACTTGGTTTTTCTTAGAAACGAAGATGGAGCATCGCGATGAATGGAGTATCTCATTCCAGAAAACATACCATAAGAGGATTACTAGATCTACATGGAAAGAGAGAAATGCAAGATGTTTTGAAGAGAAACTAGAAACTGTACAGTAAATTAAATACTCATGCTTATGGATTTTTGATGCAACCTACAAGATGTTAAAGATGATTAGAATAGCATGATTGAATTCATAAACTCACCGCAGGACTAGAATCGTGTATAGATTGAACCATTTCCTTCTGTTTTTCTTGCAGAAATGTTCCGATCATTGAAATTCTCTGGTACCAACTTAGTACAAGATTTGTTTTATTAATGTACACAATACTTTACCAGTCTCAAAAAAGGAGTTCCATGATTGTAGAATGATGACAAGTATCTGCTGTTTTCCAAAATAAATATTTAAACAAAAAAGACATATATGAATTATGCAATATATGCAAGCTCCTACACTGTAATTTACATGGGATTACAGTGTTGAAATCAGTGTTGTCAAAGGCACGTTTAAAGCACACGTAAGCCCTAAAGCGAGGCTCAAAACATGTTCGGCGCTTTGCCTCACTTATTGCGTGTTTGAATGTCGTCATCAAGGCTCTAACCATCTCCCGAAGTGACGACACTAATCAATTGATATCTTATTTTATCATTAAAAAAATCAAATGCATTGTCCATACATTTGTGATTCATGCTTATACGTATTAGTCTTGGACTAAACATATATAGTTGTATTTATTCTTCACTTGTGTTTTTTTCATTAAAACCCAGCTCACACTTTATTTGTGCTTTGCGCTTAGAGTGACCTTAGAATTTTTTTGCACTTTTGATAACACTGGCTTAAATGTGGACAATTTAGATATCTAGACTAATTCCAAAAGAACAGTATGATAGATGCAACAGATAGAATTAAAAATAGGAAGGTTGAAATGGAGGAGAGCTATGAAAATGCAATGCAAAGGAGAATACCCACCAAAATAAAAGACAAATTCAATAGTCCATCAATGCCATGAGAAAGTAAATTTTATGCCTCTTAAGTCCAACATATCCACGAGATGAACAAAAAATAAATCACACAAATTTCTAATCACTTACCGAAAAAACACTTCACAAGTTCACCCAAATACACAAAAGATCAACAAAATCACAGTATAAACTATAAAAACCAAGAACATATACAAAATTCAACCAGAAAAGAAAGAAAAAAAATAATGTACTTGCAATCCAACAAAAGGAAAAAGAGATAGACAAATGCAATCAAAGTAAGATGACCAAAACACAAAACCCAAAAAGTCCATGTACACCATTCGTCAATTTCGAAACATTAAAACCCATAGAGTACATAGTTTTTTTCCGTCTATTTGAAGTTGTAGAACGATTAACGATACATCCATACACAGTAATGATCAAAAACCAATGATCCAAACCCTATGAACCAACATATTCCATACATACCTGAAGAAAAAACAAGTTACCGAGAGAGAAGGGAAAGGGAAACAGAGCAAGTACTGTAAACTGTATAGTGTGCACTGAAAAGTACGCAGACAAATAAAAACTGTATGACTGAAAAAAATTATCAATAAACTCCATAAAAATCCTAAAACACTATAGAACATTTTTTTTAAGTCCAGCCCTTCCCTGAACCTTCTTAGCGAGAGCTTAGTATACCATACTAGTTTATAACATTTTCTCGAAAACATACTAGAAGCTTCTAGAATACAATCGCCCACAAAAACAACGTGAACAACGGAATGTAAACACAAAATAGGAGTGTTGATTCAGACCTTATCTGGATTTGTTTGTATGAATGGAGATACAAATACAACAAAAACAAAAAGCAGAGACGGTTACTGGAGTAGCGTATCGTCTTCTCTGCACAGTACTTTTTTTTGCAGAAAAAATGTGGCAACTCTGCTAATACGGTGAGCTGCAAGCTTTTTACTATAAATAATACTTTACTATAGTAGTAGTATTAACACTAATTTCTTCTCAATGTCTTGGAATTCGCATTAAAAATCATAGAGGATTAAAGCGGTAATTACGTGGAGGAGTTGTGATTAACATTTGGCACCACTCTCTCTATTTTCAATCCCATTAATAGATCATGCACACAACACCATGTGCTCCCTTAATTAAGTAGTGTACTCTTTCTAGTCAATTTTATTCTCATTATTAATTATTTTGAATAATTGCAATAAATAATTTAAATGTGATATCTTTTATTTAAAAATTAATAAATAACATATTATATTAATAAGATATTTTTTAAAAATTATATAATACTGCTAATAATAACGATTGTGGATATCGATTTGAGATGGAATTAACTAATGTCAGTTATAGATAGTATTTAATGATGAACTAACAATGATGGTTAATGATTATAGTTAATAATTATGATAGTGAATGATGATTTATAATGGTGATTGTTGTGTGGGCGGAAAGGGCAAGGGGGGGGGGGGGGGCAAATGGGTCGTTCAGATCGAAGTTGAACAGATTAAGATGGGTTGTATCAATAGATCGGTCAATGTCCGACCCCGTCAAAGCTTGTTTGGGCTAAGATGAGGTGGATACGACTTAAAATAATGAAAAAAATACATAAATACACAACTAAAGATATTATAATCTCTAAAATTCTCTTTAAAAAATTACAAAAATTCCTTCTCGGATACATTTTTATATCTTCTCGGATACTTTCCTCTCCCATTAAGTAATGTATCATTTGCAATGTATAGGACAAGTAATGTATCATTTACAATGTGTCGGACAACCAAGAAATGTATTTGAGAGTAATAAATTGGGATTTTTTTGTAATTGGAAAATTTTTGGGGATATGATGTAATTAATCTCCAAATGTATGGAATTGTTGTACTTTATACTAAAATAATTGTGTTTTATCACATAAGCTAAGGTTTAGGATAGGTTAATTTTCAAGAACACTAGATAAAATTAAATTCATCTGATAGAATCCCACAAAATTTTAATGCTTATAACATGTCAAAAAATAATATTTTCTTATATGATCTACCATTTTATTTTATTGTTAGAGTATAATCTTCTTTTTGACACAAGATGAGGTACTATTTGACAACAAATTCGATATGCAATTGCATTAGCATAAGCTATATATCATGATTATGTTTTTCTCTTAACTTAGCTAATTTTTATATTGAGATACATATAATGCTAATTCTCTTACTAGAACTCACTGTAAAATAATTATGTGAAAAGGATAAAACATATAGACAATCTTATGAAATCAAGTAATAGTACTACTCCCCCATTTATGTTTATATGTCGTCCTTATTAAAAATAGATAGTTCTTAATATTTGTCATTTCACAAGATCAATGTATAAATAACAATATTCTTCATATTTTATCCTTGAAGTTATTAAACTTGAAAATATGAATTTGACCGACATTGAAAACTAAATGATTAATTCATGCTCATTGGTCAACCTAATTAATCAAAATAAATTAATTTATGTTTATTTATTAAAAACTTGACTTCAAAAGAATACTAAAGTAAGATATAATGGTAAATTTAGATAGTTTCTTAAGGGACGTAAATTTTAAAATTGTAATATATAAATAACAACGGAGGGAGTAACTTTTCTGAATTTTATAATTCTCAAAAACTCATATAATTTACACCGTGCAATAGGCATATAATTTATCATTATCCTATTTTATGATTCTTAGCAATTTAATAGAAACTTTTTTAATTCTAATTCACTAACTAGAACTCGCTAAAAAAACAATTATACAGAAAAGATAAAATATATAAATGTATTTATACTTGCATTTTTTAACTAAATAATTGATCGCATGTTATAAGCTATAAGCCTATAACCTATCCCAATCAACATATAATCTATTATTTAATAAACTAATCGGAAGAAAAGGCTTTGATTCAATTAGTTCTCTTATTGGTCTATTGGGTTAATCATAAATTCAGTTGACCTAAATTTATAGACAGATTAATTGAATATTGCTTAAATTGATCTTATAATAATGATCTATTCAGTTTAATTTTGTAATAAAAAATCTACTTTAATTTCTCACACTCGAAAAAATATAACAAAAAACAACTAAAAAGGGACATTGTTGGTTTTACCTAATTTGATATACACATGCAATATACGTATCAAAAATATAATATTTTTTGTATGATCTTATCACTTCGTTATATTAATTGTTAGAATATAATCTTCTCCTTGATAAATCTATTTCAAATAATAAAGTACTGAAATAACATGAGGTAATATTTGACCACAAATTCAGTATGCAATTGCATTAGCATAAGTTATATACCATGATTATATTTTCTCTTAACTGATGTTAATTCTCTTACTGGAAGTCTAGAACTAACTGCAAAATAATTGTGTGAGAAGAATAAAATATATAGATGTATTAATTCAGGGGCGAACCTGGAGGTTGTCGAAACGGTTCACCTGAACCTTCTCAACAAAAATTACATCGTGTATATAAGATATTTTAGAGAATTTTTATGTTTATATATTAATTTTGAACCCCCAAAATGTAAAATTAGAGATCGACATAGTTCAGAATCTATTATGGTGGACAAAGACCAATTCTGGCCAATTTTCAGTCAAAAGTGCTTGGAATACTATAAAAAAGAGAGAGGAGGAAACTAAATTTTGTAAGAAGATATGGGTACAAGGCATCCCTTTTAAAATATCTTTTTTAGCTTGGAAGGTATGGAAAAACAAAAATCCAGTTGCTACTTTAATGGCACAATGAAATCCTAACATTTCTCATTTATGTGGTTGCTGTGAGGTTCCAGATTATGAGACCGTGGATCATTTATTTCTAAAAGGAGAAGTGGCAGATTCTGTGTGGAGATATTTTGTTGGTGCATCTGGTCTTTCGGGACCATGGGTTTAGGTGAAACAAATTTTGTTGAAATGGTGGGATGCTAAAGGTAACTCTAGACAAAAGATGACATTTAGGGGTCGTTTGGTAGGAAGTATTAGGAGAAACAATCTATGTATTATACATGGTGTTATTTAGTACCATATTTGGTAGCATTTTTGGGCCTAAGTATAACTAATCCATGGATTAGTCCCTACATGGTATTATATGATGTATTATTAATACCTTTCATTTGGTGGTATTAGTAATACATTGAATTTAATACCATGGGATTATCTATGTAAAGATACACATATCCCTCAAATTATTTTAATTATTTTATTTATTTTCTTGATTTTATGTTTTATATTTGTACTAGTAAATTTATTTAAATAAATTAGCTTACAAATTTTATTATTTAGAGAGAGTTGTTTGTTGATAAATAAATGCAATACATATCAATATAATATTTA